TATTCAGGCACAGCTAGTATATAGTATTGTTTTGAATTTCTTTTTCAATATTAGCTAGATGTGTTCATGTAGGCAGGTTAGCATTTAACTTGCTACATATGTATGTAAGAGATGTTGTTTCTTTCATGATGTATATCATGTTATATACAATATCAAATAAAGAAATGATGCTTACCTATGAGGGGAAACCCCCCCCAAAAAAAAGGGAGTAGGAAAGAGTTTTTTTTTTTATATTGGTGATTTTTATTAATTTATACTTTTATTTATAGAATAAATAGTGAAGTAGTTTTTTTTACAATTTACAATACAGTAAAAAAAAATTAGAGTCCAGTTACCTGGCAGAGGATATTAAAAAAGCTTACAAAATATGAAAAAAAAATAAAAAATTTTATAAGCATACTGTTACAATAATATTTATTTTTATAAATTTTAATACTATTTTTTATAGGTATAAACAAATTTGTTAACTTTCTAATTAATGCAAAGTACCAGGAATGTGCCTATAGACTATATTGACCTTTTGCTCAATTTCAATTCTCAAAAAGTAAAATATACTTGGATTTATAAAGAAACCAATTCTTTTTCTTCTTCAGCTTCTGTCCTTAAAGCATCATTATTGCTAATAAGAGTTATTAACAAGAATAAGAAAATAATATTTTAGAACAGTATCAAAAAAAAAAAAAAAAAAACTCTTTCCCGTTCCCATCCCAATCCTTAAAAATTTCCTTTTTTGGTAACTCAAGAAAAAAGAAACTTTGAAACGTCCAAGACATCCAAGATGTCATCTTCCAGAGGCCTCAGAAGCCTCTATAGAGAACAGACACCAGAATATGATTTGAACAAACTCTCCAAGGCAAGCAAAAAAGTAATGAAAAAGAAAACATCACCAACAACTACCTTCGCTCTATACTCGACAACAAACAACATGTCTCAAACAAAACCAACACGTCCAACCCAAACCAACAACAACAACAACAATAACAACAGCAACAACAATATAAGCACGAGCAACAACAACAACAATAACGAAGAAAATAATAACAACAAGGACACATACAACAATTAAGAAGTCCCCAACAACATTAACAACAACACAACACTCAACAACAAAGAAATTTCAGCCCAACGCCCCCTCTTAACAATTCCAGAAGCAACAACCACCAAAGACATCAACATGGAAGAAGCTTCCCAAAGCCAGGAAATGATAGACATGAACGAAGGGTCAGATGCAGAGCAGCCCTACACAAAAGTAGACAAAGGCAAAGACAAAGAAATTGTTAACAAAGAATACAGTGCCACAGACAAAGACCAACAAAGTACAAGGAAAAATGATATCACCACAGAATACACCAGACTAACCAAAATTGCCATAGCCCCTGAAAAAATTCCAGGAGCCACTCCAGCAGAGAAACTCCAATACGTTAAGAAGAAAATGACCAAAATCCCTTCATACAAATATACAAGATATGAGAATCACACAGGAGAAGAAATTTTGGTAGCACTTTTTGGAAAATATGACAAAGCAAAACAAGCATGCACAACTTCATTTGTAGAAGGAGGCAACACCTTCTTCAGGAAAGTCCAAGCTACAGATACAAAAGAAGCACTCTCGCGCACAATTCGCATCTGGGATATTCCCACAGATCTCACCAAAAAAGACATAGCAACAGCACTGGCCAATTACGGACCGATCGACCAAATCACAATTCAACAGGCCAATTCCTGTTTGTCGAGTACTGTCACACTACACAATATGGACGATTATTAAGAACTCAACCAAAAATGGTCCATCTTATACAAAAACTACCACATGAGAATTTTTCCATACTTTGGAACAAGAGAAGCAAAAGAAAACAGAAACAAATATACAGCCATGATCGCAAATCTCCTTGAAAACACCACAGCAAAAGATCTAGAACACATCATCAAACAAGTCAATGCACAAACATGCTACATTCCCAAAAAAGATAACAGTAACTATAAAAGACTAGCCATACTTTCATTCCATAACCAAGAAGATAGAAAACAAGCAACCAATCAAAACTTTCAAGTCAAAAGACATGACGTCACATGGGTAGACAGAGCAGCAAAACTCTGCTTTCACTATTGTTCACATAAACACAAATCAAGAAACTGTCTAGAAAAACCCATATACAACTACAATGACATTACACAATACAATCAAAACTACTCAAGAAAATACATAACCACAACATATCCAAACCAACTCAACCCACCCTTGTACTTACATAAAAGCTCAGCAAGAAGCTATGCAGAGGTGGCCAAACACTCCAACAAAACAAACAACCACACATCAGATAGCCACTAACAAATATTACAAATGATAAAAGAAATCTGAGCAGAAATCAAAGAGATACGCAAAGAAGTAAAACTCCTAGACGATAGAATCAGCGATCTAGAAACAGACACAGCCAACAGACACTTTGATGAGATAGAACAAATGGAAGAGGATTCACAATCAACAACAACCGAAACCATTAACATTGACAACAACTCAGACCTTATCGAAGCACAAGCCCAAATCAATCAGAAAATCAACAAGATGGATGAAACAGTGGAAAAACTCATCAACACATTCATACCCGACACCCTTTCCACAAACAGCATGCATAATGCTCCAACTACTCTCACCCAATAACAAAACAATAGGAGAAAACCAATCCTCCAGAGGAGGAAAAGAATTCATGGAAATTAGCAACACACAACGTTCGAGGCTTAAATGACACAACCAAACTCAATCTACTAATTAACTATATGCAAGAAGCACACATAGACATTATTGGAATCACAAAAACATCATTACCACCCAACAACTATATACGGGACGAAAACAAGTTATATAATATTATACAATCCCAGCCTGACTCCAAACATAACCATAATGGATTGGGAGTAGGCTTTATAATCAACAAAAAATGGCACCCACATATATATCACACACAATCAGCCCTCAACAGAGGAATACTAGTAGACCTCTCATTCAAAAACAAAAACAAGTACAGAATCATTAATATATATATACCAGCAAACAACCAGGAAAAAACAAAAAAAACAGAAATAATCACATGGACACTCAAGAAGATTAGGGAAGGAAAGAAACAAAACATGCATATCATCCTTTTGGGTGACTTCAATGAAATCATTGACCCACACCTCGATTGTACCAACCCAACACACTCAAGAAAAGATAATAGTCTTATTACCTACTTACTGACACACGACTACATCGATATGTACAGAGAGCTCCATTCTCACACAGCAGGATTCACATATACAAGGCCCTTATTCAATTATGGAAGTAGAATAGATTATATCTGGATATCACCTAATTTAGCAAACAGCATTACAAAAGCCGATATACTCACATCCAACACTATAACCAGTAGTGATCACAAAATCATAACTGCACAACTAATAGCCCCCCAAAATCTCACAGGAACAACCAATTCAAAAAATCTCCACAGATCCAGATACGACTTTATAAACACAACAGCAAGACAATAGAAAAAATTCACAGAAGAGCTGGAGGCAAAATCAACCAACATAGCAAAAGCAACCCTTGAAAACAATTATCAGGCGGACAAGATATGGAGTCTTCTTAAAGAAAGCATTCTACAAATAGCCAATAGAAATCTCAAAAAACAAAAATTCAGAAAAGGACGTCAAAATTCAAGACCATCACACCACAACAACATACTCAAAAACACACACCTTACAGGACAAATATATAGAAAATATAGAAGATGGCTTATAAAACCACAAGAAAGATCCACAGAACTTGAACAAAATATAATCAACCTAGTAACAAAACTGAACAAAGAAGAAAAACAAATCTTCAACCCACCCTTCCCACAAGACAATACAGAACTGCCACAAGAAGGGAAAGAATGGCTCACATCAATTCACAACATATGGAGAATAGAAAGAAGACTGGCAACAAAGTTAATTAAAAAAGACAACACACAGCGAATACAAAGACATATAGAGCAAAGGTTTCAAAAACTCAAAGACGACCCAAAAAAAATGATCAACAGTATTCTCAACCGACACAAATGATCAATAACAACAGACAGGCTTATCCAACACGAAACAGATGGCACAATCCCAATCATCACAGACCCACTAAAAATCAAAGATGCCACCAGAGACCACTTTAAACAATGGACAAAAATAAGAAATACCAGACCACTACAAAACTTCCCAAGATGGGAAGAGCAATATAAACCCAAAGAACACATCAATCCAAAATGGTACAACAACTGTACAATACCAATAATACCAGAGGAAATCAGAACAGAAATCAACAGTAAAAAACCACTTTCCACCCCAGGACCCTTAGATATTCCATACATTATTTACAAACACATGGGTCCGCATAGTACAGAAATCATAAGAAACATATTTAACAAAATCCTATCCACAGGTATAATTCCCTATGATTGGAAAAAAGGGAACATATATCCAATACCTAAGCCTAAAGACTGGATGGGAGACATAACAATCACATGCCCCATTACACTTCTAGAAACAATCAGAAAGCTCTTCACAAGTATATTGAACAAAAGGTTAGCATCAACAATGTCACGACATTCAATCCTATCACAGAACAACTGGGTAGGCCTTTCTGGAAATAGTATACAACAGCCTATACACATCCTAAACAACATAGCGGAAGATGCCAGAGAAAACAACAAAGAACTGTGAATATTCAGCCAGGACATAAGCAAAGCCTTCAACTCAATCAGCCAGCACATGTTAATAAAAGCACTAGACAGAGTACAAGTGCCAATGCAAATCAAACAAATACTACAAGATCTTATCTCCAACAGAGAAAACTGAGTCATAACAGTCCATGGACTTTCAAATCCATACATTGTGGAAGACGGCATAGACCAAGGAGATACAATATCACCACTTCTATGGCGCATCTTCTATGATCCACTTCTTCAAGAAGTTGCAGAATCATGTACAGGATATACAATGTCAACAGAATACCATGTAGACCTATCAATTAGCAACACCCTTGACAAAATTCCCACTACAAAAAACAGCATACAGATAACTTCATCAGCATACATGGATGACACAACCTGGTTCACCAACAACAAAAATAACATGTCCCAAATATTAGAAATGGCAACAGAATTTTTCCTAATCAATGACATTAAAGCCAATGGGGACAAGTCTGAACTAATATGTATCAATGTACCAGACCAAGACAGAAGAAACGGAATAAACATGTCAGAAACCCAAGTAATGCCGCAAGAAAGAAACACACCAATTAGAATTCTAGGAACCTGGATCACAGAGTCAGGAAGCAAACGGTTCCAAAAAAACATAATACAGAAAAAAATAATAACAACAGCAAAACTATTAGCATGGAAAAAAATAATGGACAAACAATACCGTTATATTATCAACCAAGTCCTCATGCCAGCAATCGAATACTTACTAAATGACACCACACTCACAGAAAAAGAATGCGACAAGCTTAACAGCAAACTTTTAAAAGCCTTCAAACAAAAGAGTAATCTTCCAATCACAACCTCTAACAGTATAATTTATGCAGACTTTGGCTACAAACTTTTCAATATCTGGAACAGACAAGTATTAATATATGGAAGCAACTGGTTCAATAGAATACAAAGCAAAGACACCTGTGGAAAAACAGCACAAATCCGTCCACAACAACTCCAAAACAACATCTGGTCAACACAATCAATCCTCACAAATACCTAACCCAAATGGCCACGCAAACATAACAATCTCACTGAAAACATAATATACCTACTTAAAATTTACAGCATAACTTTTGCCACAACCAAATACTTCACACTGGCAATAGCACCAAAAGGAGGCGACATCTCAATAGAATCCATTACATCACCAGAATAGTACAACAAAAACAGAGATGCACTCAAGAACAGGAAAATACTATATGTAGAACAGCTCCTCAATACAAATTTAACCAGAATGCTCACATGGAAACAGCTCAAGGGAACAATAGGAAGACAAGGACGAACCCTCAAATGGTATCATGACATCAGAAAAATTCTATGTACCAATGCCAGCGAAAACAATTACGATAACCTCAAAACACTACCAAACAAAAAAAATTCAACTAATCTATTCAAGACTAACAATTCATTATACTACCTGAACAAGCAACGTACAAATAAATGGATAGCAACCTCAATCAACGAAAACACAATCATGGCAAAGCAAAGAAAATAACCAATCAGAATACAGCAATTTATTACCACATGATTCAAGAAAATAACAACTCACCGCTATACAAATGTAAGGGTTGCACACTCAACAATCAACAAATCAGTTCAAAATATCAAGAACAGCAACAATGTATTTTGGAAATAGACAGTTCAAGAGCAGTCGACATTACAGTACAAAAGAGCAGAAAATCTGCAGCTGCACTTCCAGAAAAAAGTACAGGCCTAAATGAAGACAGACTTCGCTCCACCCCCAGAGGAATAGAGCAAGCCCTAAAGGAAATCCCAGGTAAAACAACATACAAAAAAAACACGCCACAGATACATTTGGACAAAACATCCAATACAACACACCTAATCAATACAAGAATCAAAACAGACCCTGATGCTAAAAACCAACTTCTCCACATAGCAAAAAAAATAAGTGGATACCAAGATCTCAAAATATATACAGATGGATCATTACAACCCAATGAAAAACAAATGGAAATGGGAATTGGTTGGACAATACAAGACACTACAAACAACACACTGGCAGAATTCTCAAGTAAAACAACAGGAACACCCTCGTCTACAAGAGCAGAACTTATGGCCATCCTAACAGCAATTAGTACAATTGAAGAAGATACAAATGTAGAAATAATCACAGACAGTCAAGCAGCAATAAACAATATAAAGAAAAGGGAAAAAAATTCTAAACGCAGAGAGATATTCACAAAACAGAAAAGCCCTCAACACACCCAACGGAGCAATCACACAAACCATAATCGAAATTCTCAAAACCAAAAACATCAACTGGAAACTTACAAAGATCAAAGGACATTCAGGAAACCCAGGCAACGACAGAACAGATGCACTGGCAAAAATCAAGCCATGAAAAAGAAACAGAAGCACACTACAAATCAACTACGAAGAAATAATGGATGACAGCCTTCTAACTAAATGAAATAAAGAACATACAAACCTACCAATCAAGTCCATAATCAAAAGTATTCTCAAAACTAAATGGTCAAGTAAATGGAGGGCACAACAAAGAACAAATCGATGGCTCAACAAACAAAAAGCACTAGAGATAAACTGGCCTCTAACCTTCCTAACATTATACCCATCCAAAATCACAACAACAGAAACCAGTTTAGAGGACATGAGAGACAGAACATTCCGCACCAAATTATGAACATCAGAACTGCCCACAATGAGTAGACTTCACAATTACAAAGACAAACTATATACCGACAACAAATGTAAAATATGCTTCAGAGAAGTAGAAACAGAATTACACCCTTTCGAATGCGGATCACTAGGAAACAAACTAAAAAAAGATCTCATTGACCACCTTACAAGAAAATGTGCAAGCAGATCAAGTGGTAACAAACAAAACAGCAACACAAAAGATATGTGGAGAAAGACACAAATCCACACCTCACACCAAGAGAACGAAACACAAACATGGCACGGAGTAGAATGGAAAGACATCGTTAGAGGTGTCATAACCCACAAACTACTCCAAACAGTGAAACAAATAACAGGAAACACACTAGCAGCAAAAGATGCCATACTAGAGGCCTTTAACAAGTTCTGGGGGGAAAAAAGAAAAATATGGAAATACCGCTGTGAAATCACCCAGATATGGACAGCGGCACAAGGCATCACCAAAAGAAACAAAAAAGATATAAAGTTCAATACAGAATACAAAAAATCCAACAAAACAGAAAAAACCATTCAAAATATACTACAAATACTTTATATAGATATCACAAACCGAGCACTAACAAATATGTTTCAAAACAGTCCCTTCATTTATAACCATTTCACATTAAATATCAGTGCTAGTGGAGTCTTGACACACTAGTATCCTTTATAGGACTACAGAAGGTCACAGGGTTTATTACGATAATACTGAGCCATTTAGTTTTCTTTTTCTCAAAATGTACATGAGTCACAATTAAATTTGTAAGACAAATATTGTATTAACTTGAAAATATAATAAACTAAAGGGCAGGACCTCATTAGCGCTTAAAAAAAAAAAAAAAAAAAAATATTTTAGAACAGTATAATAAAAAAAGTTATCTTGATAGTTTATCATAATAATATAGGTATCAATGCTTTGAAACTTATAAAAAAATGATCAAAGAAATAATATATATTCAGTGTAAGATTGCATGACTGAAAAAAATTGTTGAATTAAATCAAGAAGTAATAACAGTTGCTAGATATATATATATTTAATTTATTGTTTAATTTTTTTTTTATATTTATTTATTTATACTTGGTTTAGGTACCTTGTAACTTGGGAGTATAAAATTTTTACTTATGTTTTCAATATATCAAAAAATCTTTATGATACACAAAAGTAATATTTGCATAAAAAGAAAATATTAGCTATTAATAAATTACTTTTTAATTATTATTATTTTTTTTAAAGTGCACCAGCAATAATTGTCTGACTGGATATTTATTCCTTATAATGATGTTTACATATATCTTTAAATATTACTATCTAGAACTATGCTATAACGTATCAGTTGTTAGTTATACCCAACACTTATTGGGATTGCTCCAAATAACGATGTTTGCTATAGCTTGTTTCTAACTATATTAGATATAGAGGCTAATCTACTGGACAAAGGTAATCTTTTGTTGAACCAGTAGCGTGCATTTTCACTAGTAATTGAACAGCTTTATTTCTAGCTGGAGGAGATTAAGGGAAAGTTGAAAGGGGGCACTAGGGATAATATCTATAGCGAATAAAGCTACATAATCACTGCTTGCTCCATCAGGAATAAATCCCTTTATCACTACCTGCAGCTAGGTTAACCATTTAATTTCTTACTTGTTCAATGATACTCAAGAACATTCAAGATACTTATAACTGATACTTATCACCTAAACACTGACTTACATATTGCAAAGAACAGGACTTATAGCTAGAAGCCTTCTTGGGATAAGTACTGCCAGACTGGTTTATTACTGGATTGGGATGAAACTAGGGTAGGGATCTGCATAAAAGATGCCAGATATTAGGGGAAGGATCATCAAACCTACTCATCGAAAGCAGACACCTCATACACCTTGCAACTTCTGAAGATCATTGTAACACCAACTGGACGATCATCACGCCACGACACCTTTTTTGGAAATCACAATCTCAATGCCCACTGGATCAGTATGTAAAACGGCTTTTCATAAGAAACAGCGCTTTTAACAAGTTATAGTGCCAGATACTATATTAATTCTATTCAACCACTCTCATATAGGGTTGAACTGGTATCTTGTGATTTGACCTGTGAAGTGTTAACCACTACACTATGGACCCATAGGTCTTATCTATCTATGTTGTATTCAGTATAAATAATAAATTAATTAAACACAATTTGTTAAAACTTGATAGTAATAAGTATAAAGCTATCAATAAAGAATTTGTTACTAAATTGGCTGACAAAGAAACAAAATTTAATTACCCTTTTGGTTTATATGAGGCTTATGTTACATGAAGATAAGCAAAATTCATATATATCAATAATAATTTCTTGAATCATATAATTGCTACCTGTTATATGTGAGGAATATGATATAAAAATAATCTGATATTTATATATCATAAAGATAATTTTAGTGAAGGTAATTTTTATATTGCTGAATATGAAATATTATTGAAAATGACAGATAATTATATTTATTTTTAAATATTTAATGATTAGATTAATAATATTAAATTTTATATTATTTAGGTAATACTTTATTTTGCTGGCCTGAAAGTATTTTACATGATACAACAGCTTTACTAGCTGAGGGAGTAACTTGTAATTTTTCACAAAACCTTGTAAAAAGAACAGTTACTATTATTAAAAAATGGCAAGAAAGAATTGAAGAAAAAAAATATGTAAAACATTGATCAAACTAATTGAAACAAGATTTGTCAGCTTATGATGCTTTAATAGAATCATTAAAAAGAAATAGTGAAAAAAATAGAGAAATTATTTTAATAAGCAATCAAGAATACTTAGATTAACATATAAATATTAATTTAAATTATTATATGGTTTAAATAATAAATAAAATTATATATGATAAAATTTAAAAAATTTTATCATTCAATATATTTACCTTTAGCTTTAATTATATTATTTATTCTTATAGACATAGTTTTTATAAGTTTAACACATGTATTAATATCTATATTATTCCAAATATCTTGTATTTTGTTTTAAAGTTTTTTTTTATTTTTTGCTTAAAATTATGATTTTTGAATTCTAATTTTTATTTTATTTCACAAATGTTCTATTGAATTAAGATCAGGTGATTGTACAAACTAATCAAATATAATAATATTGTTATAATTAAATTATTTCAATACCAATTTTAATTTGTATTTAAGATTATTATTTTATTGAAATATAATATTTCTTTTATTTATTTTGTATTATTTTAAGATTGTAAGAAAATCATCTTTAAGTACTTGACAATAAAATTCTGTATTTATTTTTTCATTAATATAACAAAGATTTCTAATACTATATGCTGTAAAACAATCCCAAACTATAATATTACTACTACCAAATTTAAGTGTTGATTTAATATATTTTTTACTTAATAGTTTATTGGATTTTTTTAAACAATATTGTTTTTCATTTGAATCATATAACATGAATTTACTTTTATCAATTC